TATGTTTACATGAGCAACGGCAACCCAACATGTTTGTCGTGTTTTGATTTGCTTCCATAGGAGAAAAGATCATACATACCGTAACTCGCGACTCACTTCCCGTAGTATCCCCCCTCTTCGGTGCGGCCGGTGTTGATCACGGAATGGTAAAGGGGGAGGATGTTGGTGTTCACGTCTGCCCCGTCTGCCCATCCGAACCCGTGGCTGCCATGGTGGGCATGAGAACAGAGAGAGGCGGGCAAGTGTCAAAACAACCCCGCATCGTACGCTGCAGGTGCTTTCAAGCCCTAGCACCAATCCAAAACGAGTGCATGTACTGCTGTGGAAGTAGAGGCTCCACTAGTACACTCGATGTAAACGATTTAGTAAACGTTAAGACTACTACATAAACACTTGAGATATTGAGAATACGTGTACGAAATGTGATCAGTATTATATTGTTCCCGCCCTCTTGCTCATCTGTGCGTAGATATGTAACCGCGTCCATTCCCGAATACAACAAAAACAACGTGCGACAGATCCCAAGCGACACCACATCGACCCACCAGTACACGGAGCCCTCTGAATCTCGGGGAAATTCGAGAGAGTTTCCCTCCTCCGGGTAGTCCCACACGCGGCAGACGTCGGTGTTGGACGTCATTCCGTCGGGTCCATCGTTGCCGGTCCAGCAGCACATGTACGTGTTCCACTCACACATTTCCGGAAGGAGGTAGGCGACATGCACCTGCAGTGTTCGAGTTGTAAGAGAATGCCTCGGCATTTATTTTCTGATAGTGGGAGGCGAGAAGACAATGTCAAACCTTCGATATAAAATCGCACTACTTCTGTACATATCATGGTTGTTGTATCGCTGCCGAGCACACTTCTCTAGGAACGCACCCGTCACTTGCACGTATTCATCCAAAAAATATTCTCACATCCTCGTCGTAGGTGGAGCAGACCTCCCCGTCACCGGGGTCTTCAAGCGGCACCCCCTCTTCGTCCTCGACCTTCCCTTTATCGTCTGACGACTCGGGTCCGATGTCGTCATCCGACGCTGAGAAGGCAACGGCGGTGGCGGTCGACGAGGTTTGAAAGGACTCGGGCGACGGGGGCATCCCCATGGAAGAGTCACCCGAGTACTCAGGGGTCGGGGCCGGCGCGTTGGAGTCGTCACAGGCGTTGACCGCCAGGGCGAGTAGCAGCGGCCCAGCGCACACAGGGAGGAGGAATGACGTGTGCATCTTGCGGGCGTCTGCTTGGGATACGATTGGGCATCAATGGGCGAGGGTGGGGGGCATCGATGGGCGAGGGATACAACGAGCCGTCTGTAGAGGCTTCGATACATTCTTTGGACGAGATGAGGTAGGTATGCAATACTGCCCTACTGCGCGCAACAGCAGCAGTTCGCATCCCGATTTTTTTGGGGTATTTAACAAGGGCTGAAGGTCGACCATTGGCCCATGTATCCTTTTTGAGGCTCACCTCTCGCAGACGCAACCTCGACCTGTGAGCCGCACGAGCAACAAACTCGAAAGAAAAAAAAGAACGTTCAAAATTGTGTTCATTACAGCAGTCAGCAGACTGCTGTACATCCTGCAAAGTTTGCACATGTCAGGTATCATCGTGACTGGAGTCGACAGGGCCAAAGTAGTGTCGCCTTTTGGCTCAAACGCAATTAAACGCCAGCCAGGCCGCTTCACACGATGGTACTGTTATATAGTACAAAGGAGCACAAATTTATACGTTACACGTCACGGACCCCTACACATCAGCTGTCTTTCACAGACCCTTCAGGATGCGCACGTGTTCAATATTTGGATTATCCACTGTTGAAAGCATCGAAGGTTAATGGTACAACAAGGTTGGAGTCGATGTGCAAGTGTAGCAAAGCTGTGTGTGCTTCAAAGCGATCGCGCTCGGTGTTTCGTGCTCCGAGCCAAAGGCACTTCCGGAGCGAGTAATCACACGGCCCCAGGTCAACGAACAAAAGGCGGGGGCACCTCTTCCAATTCTCGCATTTTGCTTGTCCTTGTAACGAGACCTGTTTCTCGCGAGATGCTTCGGTGCGTAGGCGCGATGCAAAACTTCCGCACCAACACTTGGCGATATCGTGGCCACCTACCGTTGTGTGCCAGGTAACCCAAAACTCGAGGACCTGTATGTAGTTCCTCGTGCTGCAAACCTACATGTTTGTTTGTGCAATATGTTCGGCAGGGACGCAGGCCCGGGATCTACCTCACCAAGCGAGAACCGGCAGCCCTCTCTCACTCAACGCAGAATGATTCATCCTACAGTCAAAGCACCAGACTCACCAAATGCTCCTGACACAGCGCCAAAAGTCACACGCCAGTGGGCAGAAGGAGAGGGACGAGAGTGAGAGGCACAGGGCGTGTATGTGAGACCGCCGGGAGCAAAAAGGAACCGTACAACACCATTTTCGTTCGTGCGGTCGTCATATGTAGCAAGCGGCCAAACACGACCGTTGTATTTTGCGGACCAAAGATCCGACACCGTGCTGCGTGCGAACGGAACAATTTGAAAAGTTCGTTGTACCCGCGGGGCCCGTTGGACGAACACCAGAAGAGAAATACGAAACAGACGTGTACATTTGGATCATGGGAGGGCGCGCGCTCTGATGTATATACCAATCAGTAGTTAGCTGAGTTCCGGTACATGAAAGACCGCGTTGGTGCTATCGTAATGTTCAGCTGCAGTGGTAGCAGCAACTGCTGTAATGTCCGTGCTGTGTACTACTGCTGTATGCATTAGGCCAACGATCATCATCGTTTTTTTTTATTGGTCCAACGTCGAATTCTACCCCTCCATGGCGACGGCGGGACACCCTCTACCCACCGCTTGCTAAGACAACAACAACAACAACCGCCGATGGCACGATGGTGTACGTTTTGTTGTTTTATTTCGTCACGTGCGTGCGTGCGCGTGTACGTTCGTGCGCCGTGCACATGCGACAGACCTAAAGAAAATTGTGGTATAGGGTAGGTTGTGTAAGCATATTGCAAGTCGTACCGCCATTTCAAACGGAGTTATGGATTCAAGCCTGTCCTGCTGTTGGGAGGGAACGCTGCTGCTGCTCGTGCCGTCCACAACAAACGGAATGTCGCCGAACGTAAACAACCATGAGATCAATCTAGACATCTAGACGCACAGCATGAGGTTGTGTATAGTTGTATTCAGAGCAATGCAGATGTTACTTCGAATGAACGCGAAAGCTCACAAAAATTCACCGCGTTCATGCCCAAAACTAGCCCCGTAGGTACCCCATCCGGGTCACATCTACCCACATTGGGTCACTGCAACGACTTTGAAACGCATCCAACACCACCTTGGCTGCGTGTGCGAAGAAGGTATTTCCAGGGCAGCCTTGTTCTAATTGCATTGTGCCTGTACCACATGTGTTGTGCCCCCCCCGCACCCAGCGGCCGGTTGAAGCTCGGTGTGATGTTTCTTTTCACTTCCACGTTATTGTGCCGATCGATCGCCGTCTGTGATGTTGTGATGTTATCGTCCCGAGCCATTTGTTTCGTGTGTGTATTTGTATGTCTGCTTTGTTGCTGAGGTGTAGCGTTCTATGGGACCATCCTGTTCCTGTCCTGTTTTGCTTCCTTTTTTTCGATTTCCTTTTTCTTTCTTCCTTCGTCTGTTGTTCCTCATTTGGCCGTGTGTTGGATCGTCTCCAAGTTCGTTTTTTTTGTTTGGGTAACTCTATCATCAAATCGCCCTTGGATGTTTTTTTCTGGGTTCCAGTTTCTGCGTCTGTGGTTGTCGACCTGTGTGTTCTGAGCAGGTGATGCGAACGAAACAATGCCTGAGGATTTTGTGCCTGCAGATTTTGTTGTCGTTGTGCCCACGTCCCCGTGTGCGCCCGTGTACCAACCCAGTGGTGTTTCCGTAGTTTCCTTGATTTGACGTCGGGGTCAGAATATTCAATAATTTACTTTGAAGTGAACGATGCAGTTTGTTCGGGGAAATATCGATAGATTTGTTGTTGTACCCACGACGACATTGGTTCGGGTGTAAACGCCAACGAGTTTGACCGCAGGAACGTGACCGCAGTAGACTGGATAACGCAACCTACAACACGTTTTCTTGCATGAGTCGGACTGCTGGGGGTACACAGCAGTGTGTGGGATGACGGCAGACACATATATCCCACCGCCCGACTGTCCGCCCTACCTTCTTGGGGACAAAGATTATTTCCTCCGAATTCACGCCCACGGGGCGTATCGTTAGATGCACATGATGATCAAGGATCCGACAGCGTGTCCTGACGAACTACAGCGAACAAGAGGCACTCACGACTACGCCCTACCCAACCTGACCGCACCGACATCCTACAATCCCTTGGCCCCGTCCAACTGTCGCCACTGCCTACTCATCCTCTGCGCTCTCTCCCGGAAGCGGGTGATTTCTCTGTGCACCACAGTCATGCAGGATAATATACCTTGTCCCTTGCATCATCTTGTCCTCTGCGGCCTAGCGCCTCCTCGGTATTATCCCTGGCGTGCGGGTGGATCGTACGGGCCGCTGCTACCACCTTCGGACGACGCTCCGCCGCGTGACGGAACAGCTACCTTTTGCTTCCTTTGTTATGCCCTGGCTGGATTCCCGGGGTTTCCATCGGGATGGATGTTGTTCGGACTGCGATCCATGGATTGTAAATAGGCGCTCCCGCTAGTGTATGCGTCCCATGGACAAAAACATCGAATTTATTCCTTGCTTAAGGGTGATGAGGTTGAACCGGGTAGTGCGCATTTGTGCTTCAGTATTCACCCCAACTAATTACACATATCTCCCTATATTTATGTTAACAGAAACGAATCTCGAGCAGTTATTTTGACGCGCTTATAAAATCAAGCAAAAGACGGAATCTGAACATCTGAACTGATTTCCGTTTCACTCGACACGCCGCACTGCACGGGTGTTTACGTTTTCAACGAAAACTGCACGATGTGGTTTTCGGATATTCATTTTCAGTTTTGAGTGTACAAAACAACACTCTTATTTTTCAAGGAAGACTATCGTGCCAACCCGTCATAACCGGCAACGCTCAACAAATGTATATCGACAGAAAGCACCTGACATCACAGGAATATCGAACGTGCAAGCTCATCCAAATGATTGCACGGCCTTGTAAATCCAGAAAACGTCCTATAGACATTTGGTCTTCGTAAGTCCCACACCTCTGGTCTGCATACAGAACGAAATGTTGCGATCCTGTACGCATTGGAATTGTGCAAAGCGGATGCTACAAATAGCTTCTTATGTTACCCCAAAACTGACGACAGCAGTTCCCGACCACCATACAAGAAAAAACACGCACCACAAAATCGTTCAAAAGTGAAAACACCAACGAACAAATCGAACACGATCAGAGAGCAACGAGCGCAAGAACTAATTGCTCCCGAACAAGGATATGATTTAGGGCCTATAATTTACATTTGTTACCATAGCCTCGGTAAAATACTGCGGAAACGAAATCCGTCGACCACATCCTACCGCCGTGCAAAGAGACCAATTTCGACTCAGTCTCGTACCATGGGCACCCGTTAAGATGCGGTCGCGACCCACGCGATTTCACCCAACTGCAAATAGCAAGAAGGCCATGGATGTCCAGAAAACTCCACCGGAGACCACGGTATTCCATGTATCTGCACCATATCGTGGAAATATTTTTCGCTGTGTAGACTTCCAATGGACTCGCGCCACTCCACATGCACAACCAGGAAGACCCAATTCTCTAACGGTACCAGCATGCTCATCAAAGTCCCGATGCTCGCATCTATGAGAGACCCTAGTCCTCAATCCTGCCTACTCCTAGTATTCCCAGTCGCAACAACAAAACAATCCCAGTCTCCTCCCATGGACCGGGTTCGACTAGGCGTTGTCGCAGTCACCGCCGCCGAGGTTGTCGAGCTTCCCCACAGGGTACACTCCTCGTAGCGGTAACGGAGGTTGTTGTTCGTGCACGCCTTGAACTTGCCCTCCCGGCCCTCTGCCTTGTCGTGCAGTTAGGCATTGTCGCAAGACCTCACCAGGTTGTGTTCCATCTCACCGTAGGGCGCGCCCAGGCGGCCGTTGTATTGGCTGTAAAGCCCGCCTTCTCCGCACCCAACGATCCCGTCGATATCGAACCTGGCAATAAGAAGGCAAGGGAAAGGGTCATGTCGAAGGTCACAATATGTTCCACTAGCTGTTGAAAAGCGGGTGTGTACGCTTCAACCGCAACCAAATTTCGTATATGCAACTACTGTAGGCATTTCAATTCAACTCCACAACGACGGTCGTTCACAACGACATCACAGTAGTCAAACAAAAAACCTGGATAATATACGAGTCAAATCGTAAAAAGTCGGCGGGATTTGCCTCGACCGCCGCCACAAACATGCGGTTGAAATCCCATAACGTACCTGGAGCACTCCGCGAAAGAAACTTGAGGCATTTCCTCGATACACCCGCATTCCGGCGCTCCCTCCACGCTGTGATGCCATGACGGAGGACCAAAGCGAAACGGCACACATTGGAGGAAAGGGATCTAGCGTCAGGCGAATGCAGACATGTATCGTGAACGGCCAGGATTGAAAGATGGAACAGGAGCCATGCACGTCCACCGTGGGTACATCAAGCAGAAAGACTCGACCACGGCCTACGGTTGCCGCGGCGACGTGGTCATCGCTCTTCCATTCCAAATGATCAATGCTGTAGGAACCTCCTGCCACAAAACGCTTACGTTGTCGACCATGCAAGCATTGCAACTTGACAGTAATAGCAGCGCTAATGCTGTGTAGGTGTGTCCCCAAGAAACAGACTCACCTTCCGTAGTAACCCCCCTCTTCTTCGGTGCGGCCAATGTTCTTCACATAGTGGTACAGGGGAAGGATGTGGTTGTTCACATCTGCGCCATCCGGCCAGGCGAAGCCGTGGCTGTCATTGATTACATCAACACGGAGGTGCGGGAGTAGGGGGGGGGGGGGGGG